TGGTGGGCTACAATCCATGAGGTCACAAAGAGTCAGACGCAACCAAGTCACTGAGCATGCATGCACACCTTAACCCAAGAGGCATTTATTTTAAAGAAACCCCTGAAAATTTCTTAAATAAATGATTAGCTTCCTATGCATTTATGATAAATATCCATATATACATGAACATACTCAAAGAAGTATCTAAAAAATAAAAAAAATGGTATTGGAAAATCTTACATATGCTCTGGAATTTTCATAGAATAATACTACACTCGATAGAGAGGTAAAACCAAAATGGAGCAGATCAGATTTTTCTTGCTTGGTATTAATACATTGCCAATATCAATCATCCTCAGTTCCATAACTTTAATATCTCAGATTGTTCTCAGATTGATCTACAGATTCAACAAAACTTCACTCAAAATCTTATCACACTTTCCACAGAAATCAAGATGATTCTAAAATTTAAGTGGGAATACAAAGAAGTGAAAACATCTAAAACAAATTTGAAAAAGATGAACATGGTTAAGGGACTTATTCTTTCTCATTTTAAGACTTGCTATAAAGCTATAGGAATTAACAGTGTGGTATTTAAATAAAGACAGACATATAAATCAATGGGACAGAATAAATAGCTCAGAAACATTCTAATACCTAGGGGCAACTGATTTTCAATATAAGTGACAAGGAAACTCAGTGATGAAACAAAGACTTTTTCAATAAATGTTGCTAGAACACATGTATATACAACTGCAAAAACTGAAGCCCAAAGGTTTCCTTACACATGAATCAACGCAAAATGGAAAAAAGGACATATATTGGTAAATTTAAATGAATAATGATTATTTCAAAGAACAAAAAAATCTTGTTGATTTTAAAATATATGTAGAATTAAAGTACTAGACAAAAAATAGCATAAAATATTAAAAGGGCAAATATTGCTGTTATTCTGAAGTTCTATCATTCTTGAAGAAGTGCTAAAGTAATAATTAAGCATGCAAGGTGTAATTTTTTAAGGTAACCAATAAAAGCTATTAAGATAGTTTTAAATTTTAGTTAAATAGATGATAAAATGGAATAATTAAAATATCTGATAAACTCAGAAGGCAAGAAGAGAGAGGAGTAAAATAAAAGAAGAGCCTAACATGGTAAAAAAAAGGAGAAATCAATATTAGTCATTGGATTAAATATACTAAAAATTAAGATAGTTCCACTGGCTTAAAACAACAAAAATCTATATTCTGGTTATAAGCAATGTGTTGCAAATATGAAGCTTGAAATTAAAGAGATGAATATTTATTACTCTTCCCCACCCCTTAAAGAGGACCACCAACCAAAGGAAAGTGTGTATAGTTAAATTAATGACAGACAAACAGACATAAGGCAAGAAGCACGGCCAGGAGTAGATTTCTGAGTGATAACTTACCAGGAAGATACAATATCAGAAAGATAATATGCTTAGATAATCCACTGCTGCTGCTGCTAAGTGCTTCAGTTGTGCCCTACTCTGTGCAACCCCATAGATGTCAGCCCACCAGGCTCCTCTGTCCCTGGGATTCTCCAGGCAAGAACACTGGAGCGGGTTGCATTTCCTTCTCCAATGCATGCATGCATGCTAAGTCACTTCAGTCGTGTCCGACTCTGTGCAACCCCAATGGACAGCAACCCACCAGGCTCCTCTGTCCACAGGATTCTCTAGGCAAGAATACTGGAGTGGGTTGCCATTTCCTTCTCCAGATAATCCACTAAGAAGATATAAAAATTCTAATTTTACAAGTTCTAGCAATATATTTTCAAAATATATAAAGCATAAATTGATAAAAATGAAGATGAAAGAGGCAAATCCACAGTCATAGTCATAGACATTAACTAAATACTCTCAACAGCTTTTAGAACAGAAGACACACAAAAAAATCAGGAAACATGTGGAATACCTGAACAACAAAATTAACAAATATGACCCAACTGAAACTGAACAATTTTGGAATCACAATTTGTGGCTGCATAAGGGTCATTCATGGAGGTACATCAGAGGCAAGTCTCAACTTCTAAGGGCTGAAACTTTCCCACCCAGTGAAATTAGACTAGAAATCAATTAAAAATTACAAGAAGAAAATCATCAACAGTTCAGAAATTAAATAGACTAAAATTGATTTAATTTTAATATCATTCTGATTCACATTTCACTGAGCTTTCTATAGTTGGGAAAAAGAAGTAGAGTTACAGAGAGTGTTTCAGGATTTACTAATAAATCTAACTATTCCTTGGGCCTTCCTGGCGGCTCAGATGGTAAAGAATCCATTTGCAATGCAGGAGACCTGGGTTTGATCCCTGGGTTGGGAAGATCCCCAAGTGGACATGGTAACCCACTCCAATATTCATGCCTGGAGAATTCTATGCAGAGAGGAGCCTGGCGGGCTTTGTGACTCTTTGGGCCACAGAGAGTAGGACACAACCGAGTGGCCAAGCATGGATTCCTTCGTTAAAAATCCAGACAGCTTCATGGGAATATTGGCTCAATATATTCATTGAGATTCTTCCATGTGTCGGGCACCATGCGAGTTATTGAAAAGACAAAGTCACTATAATTATTGAGTTTATGTCCAGATACACAAATAAGATAATTTTATAATTCTAGTGCTGTAGAAAAAAATAAAACCAAAAAACTGAGTTTTAAGGAGGAGTAACTGAAAGGGGAGAGATGTTACTTCAGATAGATCTGTCAGGGAAAGCCTTTCTCAGGTGATAAGTTCTCAGTGTTAAGAAGATCCCTGCCATGTTATCTAAATAGCATTCTAATTGGAGGAATTAAGAACATGCAGACCCTGGGCGAGTCTATAGAGGGTGTGACTAGAACAGTGAATGAGGTTCACTGTTAGGAGCTTATATCAGCAAGAACAAGGTGGAGCAAGATCAAAAATGGACTTGCAGGCCACAATACTTGGACTTGTGTGCAACATATCAGCTTGTGTTGTATGAAGAAAGACAATTAATAGCATTTGTCTATGAGAAAGCCAACATTCTCTGTGGTCATAAGTACTTTCCATGTGAGGCTGTTCGAGAGTTTTATCAATCTTGCCTACAAAAAATATGCTTAATATTAACAAATTAAGTACTATATAACATAAAAATATTGAAGCATTTCTTGCTTCTACATAATTTTTAAGACAGATATAAATATATAACCATTTTAGGAGGTGAGATAAAATAATCAAGTAACCAAAGGCAGGAAAGACATTTTATTTTATTTTTATTTTAGCCTCCAGCTAATAAAAATAAATGAAAAAAATAAAATAAAATAGGAAAGACATTTTAAAATGGAAGCTAAAATTATATGCTATTGGCAATTATCAGCTAACCAGGTGAATCCAGAGCACAAAATTTTAAGAACAATTTGTTTCTTAAACACTTTTTTAAGATAATTAATTCAGTGGGTCCAAACAGCAGAGTTCCAAGTACAGTAAAAAGCAGAAAAAGCATCTGTTATGCAGCACAGTATAATATTCATATCAAAGAAAGTATCAGGATTGAAATGTTCAAACTAAAAAGTTTCTTTTCTCATAAAGGGTGGGAGAAAAATAAAGCAGGAAGAGAAAATAAGTAACTTTTAAAAGGCAGAATCAACAGTTACTAGCCTGAGAGCTTCCTTAAGATACATTTTTTGAGTGTAACATACAAACAGCAACAAATATAAAGGAATGAATGAAAAATTTGATTGTGCTTATTTAATAACTTTAAAACAAATTCTTAATTACTTGGAAAACATAAAAGTTTCCCCCAAATTTGAGCAAGACTCATGTGTTTATTTTTAAGTGACAAGACCCTTCTGCAAGTAACAAGCTGCCTACAGTGCTTCAGTACTTAGTGAATATGTGTTTAGAATTGCTTAGTATGGTAATATCATATGAACAAACAATTATGCTTTCTGAATTTTAACAACATCTATATTTTAAAAGAAGTTGACAATAGAAGAAGCAAATAGATGATAGGTGATCATTTATTTAGATTTTTTAACCTTAGGGATATCAAGCTACTAAACAGTGTTAACAAATTTTTAAGTTATTTTGCTAACTAAAAACAATGAATTTTAGTAAAAATTGCATAATGAACTGCAATATGGATTTAATGCTGTATTTAATAAAAAATGGGATGATGGAAAATTTATAATCTCAGGATAATCTTATATTATTAGAGAGCCAGGATGTGAAGTATAAAACTCTTTAACATTCTGAAGTTAGAATATTTATAATACTTTAAATTTAGTTATATATTTCTCTCCTTATGGATATTTGGTGCCTCAAACTTTAACAGTGTAGTCTGATTCTTGTTTTTCTTGTTACCTATATAATTAAAAAAAATAGACACAATTATTTTGAAACGTTTTCCAAGTACATTTTTTTAATTTAAAATCTTTTCTTTGTTAGTTGGGTTTGTTTTCTTTTCTAAATGTCAAAAAATATCTTTATAATTATAGCATTCAAAAATTTCCACAACTTCCGTGTCTTCCTCAAGAAACATTAATTCAATCTACTACACTTCAATAAAATTTTAAAAAAATGCATTACAGAAGAATGTTCCATATTACATGTACTCTACATAAAATTAGTTCAAATGTTCTTTTTATTAAATAAGTTTTTAATGACTAAGATATATTAACTTTTACATAATTACGATTCTATTCTTAAACTAAGCCAAAATTGAGAAAGAACAAAAAAATATTTGATAGATTTTTTCCCCTAAAACCAAAACCAGATAAATCTATGGACAAAGAAATATTTAGGATACATTCATTTAGCTTGTTTTCAAGAGGTAACTTGATACATGTAACTACTACATGAAAAACAAACAAATTGTTTTTCATTATTTGAGTTCTCTGATATTTCAACTAAATATATATTGCTATTTTTAAAAAACTATCTTTTCAAATAGAAAAATATTTGAAGTATTGCCATGCTGCCAGAGTTAGGAAAGCATCCAGCAGAGCGAGGTGGAAATATTATTACCTTAGTTCCTACCTGGGTAAAGAAGGGTTCATAAATCTCAACGCCTTTATCAGATCCTTGTAGTAATACCTCCTGGCCACGTCTCCAGCTGTACCGCACAGGTGGATTGGAATTGGCAACACACCGAAGGAACACTGTTCTCTCATAATAAAACTGTTCTTTAGCTTCACCTATACTTTGATGAACAGTTACTACTGGATCATCCAAATCTAAAAAACATAAAATAGTGTTATGAGTTATATGGCTATAAAGTACTGAACATATAAAACTCAACCAAAGATTAATTTTCTTAATTGAATGTATTACTTTTAACTTGACTCTTTTTCATTAAGTTCATTGAACTCATTTGCAGAGAAATTTCTAGTGATAGAAGGTAAAGACAAATAATAATTGCTTCTTAAGACCTCTATTTGCTGAAATAGTACAAATGACTGCATATTTCTAATACATTGTCAACAGCCACATAAAACAGAGTTCCAAGAGAGAGATCAGAAAATTCAGGAGGTTAGCCAATGAATTATAGTCATAGAAAAAATTTCCAAGCATCTCAGTTGACTCTTAACTTTACCATACTTCTTTTTCCAATTATTTATAACATATATTTAAAAAATAAAATAATTTATGTTTATAAATTATTATAACCTTTGTAGTAAGAAAATATGACCTTGTGCCAGATTAAATTTTTCTTCATCTCAGATTTTATATTCCACTTTGGCTGATTACTAGCAGAAGGTACTATTAAAATGCATTAATATTTCTATTACTGAATATTGGAACTAAAATTTTACTGTTTTACATACATCCTAAAGAAGGGATACACAGGAATTAGACTCCTTGACTTCAGACTATACTACAAAGCTACAGCAATCAAGACAGTTTGGTATTGGCATAAAAACAAAAATACAGATCAATGGAACAAGATAAAAAGCCCAAAGATAACCCCACACACCTAAAAATAAAATAATTTATGTTTATAAATTATTATAACCTTTGTAGTAAGAAAATATGACCTTGTGCCAGATTAAATTTTTCTTCATCTCAGATTTTATATTCCACTTTGGCTGATTACTAGCAGAAGGTACTATTAAAATGCATTAATATTTCTATTACTGAATATTGGAACTAAAATTTTGCTGTTTTACATACATCCTAAAGAAGGGATACACAGGAATTAGACTCCTTGACTTCAGACTATACTACAAAGCTACAGCAATCAAGACAGTTTGGTATTGGCATAAAAACAAAAATACAGATCAATGGAACAAGATAAAAAGCCCAAAGATAACCCCACACACCTATGGTAACCTAATCTATGACAACAAGAGGCAAGAATATACAATGGATAAAGCACAGTCTCTTCAATAAATGATGCTGGGAAAACTGGATAGCTATAAGTAAAAGAATAAAATTAGAACACTCTCTAATATAATACACAAAAATAAGCTCAAAATGGATTAAAGACCTAAATGTAAGGCTAGACCCTATAAAACTCTTAGAGGAAAACAGAGGCAGAACACTCTTGATGTAAATTTGAGCCACCTCCTAGAAAATAAAAACAAAAGTAAACAAATGGGATGCAATTAAACTTAAAAGCTTTTGCACAGCAAAGGAAACCATAGACAAAACAAAAAGACAACCCTCAAATTAGAGAAAATATTTGCAAACAAAACAACCAACAAAGGATTAATCTCCAAAATATAAAAATGGCTCATGCAATTTAGTATCAAAAAAATAAACAGTTCAGTCAAAAAATGAGGGGAAGATCTACCAAAAAGATGGACACTTCTCCAAAGAAGACATCTAGATGGCCAACAAACACACAAAAAGATTCTTAACATCTCTAATTATTAGAGAAATGCAAATCAAAACTACAATAAAGTATCACCTCACATCAGTGAGAATGGCTATCCATCAAAATATCTACAAACAATAAATTCTGGAGAGGGTGTGAAGAAAAAAGAATCCTCCTCTATTTTTGGTGGGAATGTAAATTGATACACTCACTGTGGAGAAATGTATAGAGGTTCCTCAAAAAACAAAAATAGAACTACCAGATGACCCGTTCCTGGGTATATACCTAGAGAAAACCATAATTCAAAAAGATATTAAATACACGCACTCCAATGTTCATGGCAGAGCTATTTATAGTAGCCAGGACATGGAGGCAACCTAAATGTCTATCAACAGGGGAATGGATAAAGAAGATGTGGGTACATATATACAATGGAATATTAATCAGACATTAAAAAGAATTAAATAATACCACTTACAGCAACATGGATGTACCCAGAGAATGTCATACTGTTTGAAGTGAGTCAGAAAGAAAAAAACAAATATAATATCACTAGATATTGGTCTAGAAAAATGATCTAGAAAAATGGTCCAGAAAAACTGATACAGATGAACTATTCGCAAAGCAGAAATAAAAACACAGAGGGAGAGAACAAATGCATGGATACCAAAAGGGGGAGAGGGGGTGGGATGAATTGGGAGACTGAAATTGACACATATGCACTAATATGTATAAAATCAATGAGAACCTACTGTATAGCACAGGGAATTCTATTAGATGCTCTGTGAGAAGGGGATCTAAAATTGAGGGGATATATATGTGATTTACTTTGTTTTACAGCAGAAACTAAGACAATATTATAAAGGAACTATACTCCAATAAAAATTAATTTTAAAAAGGGGTATCCATGACGTGCATGCTTAGTAACTTCAGTTGTATCCAACTCTCTGTGACCCTATGGACCACGGCCTGCCAGGCTCCTCTGTCCATGGGATTCTCCAGGCAAGAATACTGGAGTGGGTTGCCATTTCCTTCTCCAGTATCCACGACAGGGTTTAACCTATATTTTCTGGAAACAATTTATGAATATCTTGCACTTTGTGGTTCACACAGTCTTTATCTCAACTGTGATAAACTCTATCATTATAATGGGAAAGCATCCAAAGACAACAGGTAAATGAATGAAAGATGAAGGTTGCTGAGTTTCATAAAATTTCATTTACAAATGCATGCGCCACAGCCAGATTTTGTTCATGGGCCATAGTCTGCATGGATTACCAACCTCTGATACAGCATATCACAGGTTCTTAAGAGAAAAAGAAATCAAGGAGTGTATTAGCTTTAAAACAATTTTATTGCGTGTTTGAAACTTTCTAAGAGCATAAATCTTAAAAGTTCTAGAAAACAAATTTGTAACTTTGTATGGTGACAGATGGTAACTAGAATTATTGTGGCAATCATTTTACAATGTATGCAAATTGGAATCATTATATTGTATACTTGGAAATAATATAATGCTATATGTCAATTATACTTCAACTAAAATAAACACACACAAAAAGTTTATAATTATGTGTTAAAATAATAAAAAGGCAACTAAAATGGAAAACTAAGTGCTTCCTTAAGGAATCAAAGTAAAGAACAAAATTCCAAATTTACCCAGTTTTTAAAAAGCTTTTTTCCAATATGAATTGCTTGACAACCTTACTTAGATATCTAGTTTTGCAATATTCTTATTTTTTTCCAACATTAGAATATTTTCACAGCTACCTCAATGGCCTCTAATTTTAGTAGTGAATATTTAGAGAACAACTGCTGGTTTTTTGGAAAAGCTGTAGGAACTTTCATTTTATATTCATTCTATTAGCGGTACAGGAATATATGCCTGGTTTTAATAAGCTGGAGTATTCAGGGATCCCAGCATCATTACCGTGACATGTTTAAAGGTCTTTAAGTTCCATCAAATGGCCTCTTATTTGATGATTAGGCTTTTTACATATAAATCAAATCCTACAGGAGACGAGCTGAATTCCATCTTAGTGGCTTGAAAAAAAGGTACTGTGAGTCGGTGGTAAACAACTTATTTTCTTTTGTTCAAAACATAATTTCTATTAGTTATAGTTTATTTTTAGAGATATGAACTGTGTTATATTGTTTAAAAAAAATCTGAAGCTGGAAAGTTGTGAACAAAACAGATTTGAATGGGAAACAGGGTAACAATGGTAACACTCTTTGGGTTCTAAATAGTTAATAGTATTGTACTTTTCAACTTCCATTCATTGACGCATCCCTAGCTCTTTTCACATTAGGTAGTGGTGTCCATAATTGCAGTCAGAACAGACCAAAGCTGAACAATCCTTTAAACGTGCTCTTCCCTGACTTGGATGAGTTTCAGGTGAGAATCCAATCCTATGACAATGGTTTACAGAATATTGTGTTGGCAGAATTACCTGTTAGATTCACCCATGTTTAGGAACTTCTATTTCAGAAAACTCCAGGATGATATTTTTTTACACTTAAAAACAAATTTGCCACTCAGGGTTACCTTCCTGTACAGTATAAGACATTTCTGTCTGCTATTTTTATCACTATTTTAAAACTCTAAAGACACGTAATAGTGAAAGTAGCAAACAAATAAAACCAAGCAAGTCAAAAACAAGATTTCTGTTAGACAAGTCAAATAATAGTATGGCTAAAAAAAATATTTCAAGTACGATTATATGTTTATGTACACATACACATATACATACAGGATAGTTTAAGTGACACAGAAATATATATCCTTTAAAAATATGTTTAATATATATTCTTTATTATTACTGAATATAGACTGAATGTGTGTCCTTGCTCTAGGTCAGGTTTCTTGGAAGAGAAACTCTAAGACAGAGATACGTGTCCAGAAAGTGCAGCGGAAATAATCTTCAACACTCGTGGGGGAGTGAAGGACGGAGACTGCTTTAGGACAGGAGAACAATACAGCAGCTGCATCTAAGCTTCGCAGTAGCTCTAGAGAAGATTTGGGGCCCTGAGGTCCTCCCAAACTGGAGGGGCTGTACCGCCTTAAGACACGGAAGCTAAACCTTTATACTTCAACCCTTTCCCTCATCAACCAGTCCTGGCAAGTGTCCTGTTCTCCTCGACTTTGGAAGGGGCAGTTCTGTCTGGCTTGGGATAATTTCTAGAGAAGGAGTTGGCTGACAGTCATCAGTGTTAAAAGTTTTAGTGGCTGTCGGACTAAGTGCTTCAGCCCTGAGGAAAGGATCTGGGGGTGCACTTCAGCACCCACTCAGATCTACCTGCCAGATATGAAAAGTCACTGTATCTGAGAAAAGCTATTCCAGAATTCTCGAGAGTCACCTGTCCTGGGGAATCTTTTTAAAAGGAACCATGGTGGGATGATAGTTATCATCTCCTTCTACTATCACCATTCTAGATCACTCTCATCCTGGGCTAGAACATCTTTTGATATAAGCAGTTTACCTAGTGAGACCACCAGATCTTTGTCACTGGGGACGTTGAGCCCCTGGTAAGCATGCTCTTCTCAAGCCATTAGTGATGCATTTGTCTGTTTACCACCAAATTTGGACAACAGAAAAGCAAGAAACAACTCAGTGAATCAACTGGGTAAGGAATATATTCTTACTGCCTTGTTGTATAACAGCAATCTTACCTTCAAGCTGACCATATGGGCCAGTTGCTCCTTCCAGAATGGTGATTCCTTGCATCTGCTATTTCCTGACACAGGAAGCCTAAAGTAACAGCAGCCAACTCTTGAAGATTAATGGGACTCTTTCAGTATCATTTAAGAAAAGCCTTTTCCCTTTCTGAGAACTAGAACATCTAAACTGGCAGAAACCAGCATTGTGGGGAGGGAAAGATAGATTCCCCAAGAGGATCACTGAACATGATGGTAGTAAGTAGGGTCTCTACTTAATTCTGGAACCTATGTATTCCACCAACACTCCCCACCCCCCCAAAAAAGAAAGAAAGAAATGGAAATAAAAGCATCATGTAATGACAGTCATTGATTTAGGATATATACTGCATCCCGGAAGATGGCACCCTTCCTTACTGGATATTATTTCTCCAAGACTTAGATGCCTCCTCCAAAGGCTATTCTATCACTCTAGTAAGTTAATTTTTTAGGTGGTATTGAATATGATATGACTAGAGATTCCCACAGCAATGTTCCCACTGCTACATCTTAACTGCTATAAAATCCGCTTCTGGTCCCATGGGCATTTAGGTAGGATCATGTATTGAGAATGAAACATTCTAAAAGTCTTTGGATAGGACTGATGCTGGCTAAGGTCAGAAGAAAAGTTCATACTCAGAGTACGTATCGAATTCAATCAAAATGATACACTGTCATTTTCAGGATTAAAAAAAAATTCTAATATAATCTACTGCTTGGCATTCTTGATGTATGATAACGCTTTATCATGAAGAAGTGGTGTCTAATGTTGCCAGATTAGATATTCAGTAGTGACATTACAGGAGAAGGCAATGGCAACCCACTCCAGTGCTCTGGCCTGAGAAATCCCATGGATGGAGGAGCCTGGTAGGCTGCAGTCCATGGGGTCATGAAGAGTCGGACACGACTGAGCAACTTCACTTTACTTTCACTTTCACGCATTGGAGAAGGAAATGGCAACCCACTTCAGTGTTCTTGCCTGGAGAATCCCAGGGATGGGAGCCTGGTGGGCTGCCGTCTATGGGGTTGCACAGAGTCGAACACGTCTGACGTGCCTTAGCAGCAGCAGCAGTGACATTAGACAGGCCAAACTTCATGAATGATAACCGAAATTTAAAACTTATGCATAACCTCTCTCCCTATCATTATAGCTATTCTTTTCATGAGTCTGTTATCCCAACTATGGGCAGCCAATGACAGAAACTGGTTGGTATCAGCTGTCTGCATTACTCTGTCCACTTCATTATTTTGTGCTGCTTCTATGATAGATAATTTTTGGTGCTCATTAACATGAAATACAAATGTTCAATACTTCATGGCACACCCACAGGTCCATCCAAATGCTTGAACATATCTCCCCTGTTCGCTCAAAACGACTGACCAGGTACAGTGCCCAAGTCAAAGTTCTATCCACTGAGATAATTTTCTGTTATTACCTGTCTATCAAGGACATTACAGAGTGGGGTTCTCCTGAAATAACAATCCAATTTCCAGGCTGCATACATGTACTGAGCTGACTCATTATGAAATAAGCTTAGCCTTTTTGCCCTACTATTATTTCAAAAGAGACCCTCTATATAGTCTTTATGATTTGAGAGAGAGAAACTGGCAAAAGACTGATAGCTGTCATGGGGGTCTGGGCACTTGCTTGTACAGCTTACCTGGACACTCTTGCCCTGGTCATGCCTCATCTTAGATGTACCACTTCCATATGATGATGGACTACTGATAGCCTGCCCTATTTTATGACTGAGTGCTTGGTAGATACAACAAAACCCAATGCATGACTGGCACTTCAGGACACTGGTCTGAAAATTACCATGTTCAACAACTGAACACGGAGTCTTGACTTTTTATTATATCACCATATTCAGACTCCTGATTATCCACCTGTTTTAACTGTGCATATGGGGCAATACCCTTGTTGACTATCCACTTATTTTGCCCCAAGGGATGCTATGTTCTATCAACCATCTCTAGAGGTCTCTGTGGGTCCCCCACATGTGCTAGTGGTAAAGAATCCACCTGTCAATGTAGGAGACTAAGAGATGCAAGTTAGATCTCTGGGTCAGGAAGATCCCCTGGAGTAGGATATGGCAACCAGCTCCAGTATTCTGGAAAGTTCATTGAAAGGGATGCAAAGAGTTGAACACCATTAAGCAACTGGGCACATGCACGCACGTGCACACACACACCCAGAGCTCTCTGTGAGTCTAGTGCACTGGATGCATTTGAACTGTCACCTCCCCTCTATTCTTCTGTAATCCCAGCATCCCATTGGTATCAGGAAGACCAATTCTATAACAGCATCTCCTACTATGAACATCTGTCTGCAAAGAACAGTCACCCCTAAGTCTCAGTGATGCTTGCATCTCAGTCATCAGCACATTCTTATTGATTTAATAAATGTGGTGTCTTTTGAGTCTTTACATAAAATACACTGAGTTGATGACATTTTTAAGCTCTAACTGGTAAATTCACTCTAGCAAGCTTACATATGGGTCTTTTGATCTCATTTTATTCTATATACACAGCAGTTGTGGCACATATACTTCTTTTTGTGGGGCTCACTGCTTTCCCCAAGCTTCCAAACACCATCCTAACAGCAGCGACTATCTCCTGCTATCCTGGCTAGGGTCTACATCTTATATCATGGGAGAATGCTCCCATATCAATAAACCCTTATTCTTTCTCTCTACTTGATCTTATTCTCCATCTCTAATCTTAGTCAGTCTTACTGTCAGTCCCACTTGGAATAGCAGCCTCAGGATCCTACTCCCTGAGTACTCTCTTGATTCTTACTAGCAAATATTGGATAGGGTCTGCAGCTCATTTGAAGCATAGCATAGGCTCTTCCTCTTGCTTAGAAACCAAGCATTTCCATGCCAGATCATGACATCTGTTGATCCTACATACTAATTTGCTGGTAAGAAATGAAGGTAAGGGTATACCCTAAGAAGGGTATATATTACCACAAAAGAAAGAAGATTCTGCAACATCTTTAAGCGGGATGAAAGTTATACCCTCCAATTAGAAGAAATGGTACACTTATGTAGGTCCACAATGTTTAAGAAAATCTAGGTTTTCAACATTTTTGAGACCATAAACCCAGATACAGCCCACCTCTCCAAGTCAGGCTTCTACTTATTCCCAGCTGGGGTTCAGATCCTGGCTTGGCCGATTTGCTGAGGCTGAGGATTCACACTTCTCTGGAATTCTGCTATACTTTTAAATAAGTTCTAAGCCTTATTAGCAGCTTTTATAACCTCTGGCTAAAGAAGATAAGACTTTCTTTATATTCTGTAAAGAGACTCGCTTATCCTCACATATCACCTTCAACTCATGATTAATCACACACAGTCTTTTATTCTTTCTCTTTGCTGTATAAATAGAACTCAGCAGAAATGGATTATATTATACTTATTACTTTCCATTGAATTCCTCAAAAGCCCAAGATATTGAATTCACAGAGCATTACCTTCCACTGGTACCCATCCTTGTTCACCATCTGTGAAGGTTTTAACAATCTCACCTCCATAGCATTCAAAGGCTATCCACGGTCTACCTACCACCAGCAGTGGCATTCTCACTGCCAGCTGGTTAGTGGGCTGATGAGTGATCTAACATCCTATTTTAGACTCTACTTCCTCAGACCATCTAGAATTATTTCCTGAAAATATGATTATCTGATGAAGATATGCTTTTAGGAAATTTATAGGGCAGTGCTCTCAGGATCAATTTTTGTGATTATGTGCAGAAAAGAAAAAAAGGGGGGAAGATAGCATTAGGTAGTGAGGGGAGTTAAACTGTGATACATCATTACAAAGTCTCCTTATGATCCGGAGGTGCTCCAGAGTTGAGATGGTCTTTCAGAGTTGTCCTACAAAGGATAACAATCAGTCACTAGATTAGGCTTGGTAGGGATGAGGCTTGAACTTGGGTTAGGCAGCTCTTTCCAGCTGAGGAAGTTTCATGGGAGGGATTCACTTGAGAGTCACAATCTTCCAACACTCCCAGGATATAGAGAGCACCTGCTATCCTGTTTCACCATAAGATAACTTTCTACATTTACTCATCATCAATTTTCACACTAGTGGCTTAGATACTCTTACCAAACCATGTTGGGCTATCTTACATTATTGATGATATTTTACTGGCATTTATTTCCTCTCTTTAAATTTCTTCCAGTTTTGTAAGCTAAGTAGGTAAAATTCAAACATCTAGAGATGATATTCATCAACAAATGCAAAGTGCTTTTTGAAACCAAGAGATTGATTTTATATAATTTAATGGAGGTCAAACTCCTCATATTTATCAAATAAACCATTGAATGTAATATTTGATGCATGAATATTTTATATATTTTTAAATAACAAACCTAATATAGTTTTCTATAAAACAGCCCAATGTGCATAAGATCTATACCTTAGTCTTGTTTTATTCTTAGAACTAATACAAGGGATAAAAGTACTCAGTAATAATCTAATAAATTAACTTGAAGATAAATCTTTAACTATATGCTCATTGTCAATTTTCAACAATGCTATACATATGTACTATAATAAGAAGCCTAAGGAAAATTCATTTTTCTTTCTAACAAATGCTACCTATCCCTTTCTAATTGAAATAATTTTCTGGAAACTTTTTCTTTGATTGATTAAATATGCCAGAAACTGACAAAATTAAGGCTATATATATATATATATAAAATCTTACCAGTTACCCAGTGCAGTTCATGTAAGCTTAGAAGCTTACACATATAAGTTACATATATATGACTTACATGAATATATTAGCTACATGAACTAACATGCACACACATATATATGTGTATATATATATATGGATTTAATATATCAGCATATATATATGATGAAAACTACCTTTTTTAAGCTTAGAAGCTTACATGAACTGTACTGGGTAACTGGTAAGATATATGGCTAAAGAAAAGGTGAGAATTTAGGAAGGACCTGGCTTGGCAGCCGACAGTGCATTAACTGAAATAGGAAATGTAACGATAGACCTATACCTGACCAGAGGATGGAGTGAAGGAAGACATGATTAGAGAAAGGAGCTATTTCTGTTTAGATCATGCTCAATGTCAAGTACCTATTGCTGTCTTAATCATAACATTTTAAAATAGAAACAGAATGAGAAGTCTGGGCTACAGATGTTGAACAAGAGACACCAATATTCTGCGAGTGGCAATGAAACAACTCAAGAAGTGTGCAGAATGAAAAGAGGAAAGTATTAAGAAGAGAGCTCTGGTCTCTGGTCCACAACTAGTGGAGGCAAAATAAATAAATAAGTAAATAAATAAAATAAGGGAAATATCTGAAAAAGACAGATGGGAAAAAGTGATGAGAGCGGTGGAGACAAAACAAATCACTGGGATAGAAAATAGATTTTAAAAGTATTTTTAAATGCCCTTACAGGGATTAGAGAACAGAATAAATGGTGAAACAAAATCAAGGTGAGAACAGAACTGGAAATGGATTTTAAAATTGGCAAGAGATATACTATTGGTAAGCTTCATCAGAGCTGTGCCAGTGGAGTTGTCGAACCAGTAGTCATTTTTCTGTATTTTTGAAAGTGAAAGAAAAGTGAAAGTGAAAGTCGCTCAGTCATGTTCGACTCTTTGCAATCCCATGGACTATAGCCCACCAGGCTCCTCTGTCCATGGAATTCTCCAGGCAGGAATACTGGAGTGGGCAGCCATTCCCTTCTCCAGGGCAACTTCTCAACCTAGGGATTGAACCCAGGTCTCCCACGTTGCAGGTCAATTCTTTACCATCTGGCCACCAGGGAAGCCCTTTGAAAGACAGATAAAAACATGCAACAATTAATGGCTATAATTATTTCAGGTAACTTGGCTATGACAAGAAAGAGTTTGGGAAGTAGCTAGAAGACAACATGCAATCACGAGTCTTGCTTTGTTTTCACTGTTTTGTTTTTTCCTAAGTTGAGAGACATATATTTAAACACAAGTAGGGAAGAGTCGGTAGTTTACAAGGAAATATAAAATGATGGGGAGCTCTAGGAAAATGGTAGATGCTTGAATTAGCTGTCTTAATAAATAACGATCATTTATATGGTATAGTTATAAAATGAATTTTTACAACTCAACATTATTTAAGATTTCCTTTATCAGTAGTCTGTCTGTTTTTAGATGTCTTCATTCAAGCTTTCAGTCTTTTATGCTAGAAAACTTGAAATTATTTCTAATCCTTCCCTCTCTTTATATATATGCAAGATAGTTTACCTTAAAAAATCCAAAATTAGTTCTTATAGACATTAGATATTCTTGTTTGAGATAAAGTTAACTAAGTTGTGGAAGCATTTGTGTAGTCTATTCTCCACTTAAACTGGAATACCCTAGTGACATGAGGAGCTAACTCTCATTTCCCAGTATGCACTGGCACAATTAATCTATGTGCTTATGGTTAATCAGTTATTAACTGCAACTGAAGTCATGGGTGTAGTTACAAGTTAAAGAATCAATTAATCTCAAGAATAATCACAGCAGAAGTCTGTTTTCCACAGGGGTTTATTCCACCATTTGGTCCAATTTTTCTCTTTAATCTTTGAATTAAACCAAATGAATCTGAAGACCCAGATGGCAAAGACTCACTAAATAGTGTATTGGATGCTGCCTTTCCTCCGGGAAGTTCCAAAAATCTTATGCAAAAGAAATCCAGATGTGTTTTCTTAAGGAAAATAACCATGCAATAAACTTGTAGGCACTAAAGCTAATCAAGAATATTACTTTTTCATTTTATGGTAAAAATTTATGCTACTATTATAACTACAGGATGGATGTACATAACAATAGATAATGTTGACAGGCTAACTTGAATAAAATTAAGTTGCTTTGAAGTTATTAAAAAACTAATTAACTAATTGTGAGATATATCAATAATCAAGAACAAGACACTTTATTATAAACAAAGCTTCTATGTCAATAGTTTGTAGTACACTCTGCAGATACAAATACAAAAGCACCATTTTTTAGATAAATGAGAAATTTATCTAAAATTCTGTATAAATACTGAAAACAATAAATGTTTCATATCTTTTTCTGCATAGTGATTTTTGAATAATGACTAATTTTATCTAACAATATATAAAAGAAATCAGACACAATGAGTATTTATAGTCAAATTTGTAACATGGGACATTTATAAGAGAGAAGCTATCAGTAAGATTCAGGTTCCTTCTTTCAAATTTTGTTCATATCTACTCACACTGGTTAGAATACATTGTACATTCTGTAATTTTAAAATGCAGCCAAATGTTTTAAATGGGGACTAATTAAATGTAAAAGCTTTTGCCAGCAAAGGAAATTATTACCAACACAAAAAGACAACCTAATGAATGGGAGAAAATATTTACAAAGGCTATGTCCAATAAGGGGTTAATATCCAAGATACACAAACAGCTCACATTACTCAATATAAAAAATCAAACAACTCAATTAAAAAATTGGCAGAAGACCTGAGTAGCCATTTTTCACAAGAAGGTATACAGATGGCCAATAGGTACATGAAAAGGTGCTCAACATTGCTAACTGTAAGGGAAATGGAAATCAAAACCACAGTGAGATACCACCTCACACCTGTCAGAATGGCTATCATCAAAAAAGTCACAAATAAATGTTGATGAGGATCAATCAACATTTGGAGAAAAAGAAAGGAACCCTTACACACTGTAGATGGGAATGTAAACTGGTGCTATTTACTGTGGAAAACAGTAAGAAGGTTCCTCAAAAAACCAAAAATAGTTACCATGTTTTCCAGCAATTCTACCCATTCCACTCCTCGGCATACATCCAAAGAAAAGGAAAATACGAATTTGAAAATATACATGTGCTCCACTGTATAGTAGCATTATTTACAATAGCCATGTTATGGAAGCAACTTAATTGTCTATATACATATGAATATAATGAAGTATGATCATTTTTTCCTGTATAGCTTTGGTTGGTAACACAAGGTAAAGTCTGCCTCATTTTCTCCTTGATTGCACATGAAGTCTTTACTCTCATGAAGATTTCCATCTCTTGATCTTATATATATATACAATTTATATATATATATATACAATTTATATATATATATATTCCATATACATATATACAGGTATAGTAAATACACTTATATTTTTAAAAAGGTTATTTTATAATTTAACAGCAAAATTTAATTTTTAAAATAATTTCATCAATAATTTTATATTCCTTTCTTAGAACACTCACTAGAAATCTAAGGCAATATAAAAAATAAGAGTGCAAACAAGCATCCACACTGGATCCTAATTTTAACTGAAATTATTTTAGTTTTCTCTTTTTGTCATTTAGGATTTCTAAATTGCATAGTCTTGATTTAAGCAGGGTTTTTTTTTCTTTCTACTTCTAATTTATTTAGAGATTTGTTTTAAAGTTAAGATGGCTGTAAAATTGTACTAAATGCTTTTAAAACACCTATTGGTAATGGATGTATACCTTTTCACATAGTGGGAAAATTTTTGTACTCCTTGAATAGACCTTTTTTGATAATATTTATTGCACTTATAATTCTACTGGTTAGTT